TTATGCATTATTTTCTATTTATAAAGACTTTATAATATGAAAATATATCTTTCCCATTACATTTGCCTTCTCTTACTTTGGAGTTAGCATCTCATGCTTCTGTACCTTGAGGAAAACAATTTGTCTTTATCATTCTCAGCTCCTGGATTTTAGCTACAAGTCGACTGAGAGTAAATAATATGCTTCATGATTCTAATTTGTTTCTAGTAGTAAGAATTGCATAGAAATAAAAATAAACTGAAGGAAAAAAAATACTGCCAAGTGAAATAATCTTAACGGGGCTCATTCATTTTTTAAGTGCTTGAATTGCTTTGGAAATGATGCAAGGTACGTCTCTTCGAAGTGTAGAGTGAATAGACTTTCTGATGACTTACCAAAATTAGTTCTGGGTAAGGTTAATTAAGAAATTTTTCTCCCATTTGTCAGTTCAAGCCTTCATGTATGTTCCTGTCTGGAGCAGGTGCCAAAAAGGAACAATATTTTCAGTGTCCTTTCTTCAGTTTTTCCACCTCTTCCTGTACCTGGACTGACCTCCTTCAGAGATGTCTTTGATTTTTGACTTTTTTGTTTTTACTGAAGAGAGAGGGAAATAAGTTTTTAGAGCACAGCGGTCTGTTTTGACAGTAACTAGGTCAACCTTTAGAAAATACTGCATCAAGTCAGTGAATGCTATTTAATGAAAGACTGACTTGTCATAAAATTCCTGTAATTTTTCAAGACTTAGCTTGATTTTTTTTAATGTAACTTTCTTCCATCCTTCCACAGCTTCCTTACTGGTAGTGTCTTCCTTCATAAGATCATCTTTGAAAATGACCAATCTGTGTATCTTATTGTTTGCTTAATCTTGTTTCAGGTAGGTAGCCTAGCTCAGAGAAAAGCCCTGAAAAGAAACACAAGCTTGTCCTCAAGTTCAATGTCTTTGTTGGGGGGAAAAACCCCAAAATCCCAAACAAAAAAACAAACAAAACAAACTCACCCACAAAACCTGCAGGAAATTTCCTTACTCACTTTTAAATTCTGAGTAATGCAGTTGCGGAAATAGAGCTGTCATATTTACTGTATGATTAGCAGTAACAAAAGGGCAGTTTGCCTGATGATTTAATATCAAACAGTGTGTTCTGGACTTCACAGCTTCCGCTATTTCAAGATGTTTAGGGTAAAAGATCAAAACTAAGACTGAAGGGATTTTTAACTTCACTAAAAAACAGAGGATAGGTGGAATAGAAGATTTTTTTTTTTTACAAGATATTTTGAGGTATTTCTGTCCATGTTGTGCAATGGTTTACTTTTGTTATTTGTCACTGCTTTTCTTTCAGTCTGGGTCTTGAAGTTATTTTCAGTTATAATATCCTTGAGAAATGAAGATAAATACCTTTCAAGGAACATCTCTAAGAAATTAAATTTTAATTACTTAAATATAGCAATTGCCTGTTGAGTTTTCTTCTTGATATATATTTTTTTTAACCATGCAGTCCGTATCATATATAGTCTTCTTAATAACCAAATGAATCTTACTGTTCCTCCTTCTTTTCACTTGATAGTCAGTTTACATATAATTGCAGTTCATAACCAAGGACTGACTTAGGGATTACACATAAGAGTTTGAACTTCTCTTAGTCTTAGATGTAGTTGAGGCATTGAACTATTTCTATTTTCATTCCTATAATGGAGTCTGTTTACAGTAATGGCTTTTATATTCTTTGCTCATGGACTAAGCTGAGGTAGCTGCTTCATTTTCAAACATTGGCAGCATTTGAGGCAGACCATACACTGCAGATCTAGTCATAAGTGTGTTCCCAGGTCCTTGTAACTGTTCTAACAGGGTAGTTCCATTCAAAACCCAGATCAGTGCTTTTAAAGGATGGTCTAGTAGACATCGTAGCTTTTTAATTCATTCAAGTACTCCACTTGAGGGTTTCCAGAAGGACTGTGTAAGAGCGTATTTTTCTGTTATGCGCTCAGAATACTCACAGTGATGGCAGTAATTCTACATGATTTGGAAACGCATAAAACTGTTTCAGTCTGGTAAAACTCTGATACTTGTTACAAGCATTTTCTTTTCTGCTTTGTGCATGTAGCTAATTGAGTTAGCTTTTCTTGGAATACTTGCATTTTATTATAATGAGCTAGTATAGCATGACTAGCTCTTGCTGCCTTTTGTGTTCCCAGTGACAGATTTTATTTTTTTTTTCCTCTGGAGAAGGCTGGAAAAATCTTCTAAGAGGTAGGTCTTTTTTGTCTTTCTAGCCTTTCTGTTTTTTGAGAAAGTGAGTCTTAAGAGTTTCTGCCAATTTTGTCAGCATCTTCTTTTCTCCTTCCCAGTAATATTGGAATGCAAGCCAGTTTAACTGAAATTGGAAAGTCCCAGAGTATTCAAGTTCCGATTAAATTAATGGAAGTTGACAACGGGATATAGAAAAGATACTCAAATTAGTGTTCCCACTGAGACAGAGCAGTGTGTTAACAGTTGTGTTCTTTTCTGTAGCAATTGGCCAACCAGTTTATAGTCATCTAGATTTTGTAATCTTTTATCTGATTGGACTTTTTTTTCCCTCTCATTTTCATTAGTAACTTCTGAACACAGGGAGTTCTCTTGAAATTAGTAGTCTAAATTCAGATTCAGATTTTTGAGAGAGACATTTCTAAACTCTCAGAAGCAAGAATGTTACAGCAAACGTGCTTGAGTCCTTTGAAAACTTATGCCGTGCTTCCAGAATATTCCTGTGGAACAAGTGCCTTTTTGTCTACCTGTTAAGAGTAAGCTGTTCAGGAAGAGATGGGAAAGGGACATTACATTTTAGACGCTGACAAACACGAACTTAAAGTTCATTTATTTTGTTTCTGGGAAGTGCAACTTTTCTTTCGCAGAGTTTGGTTGTGTAGCCTAACATGCATCTCCAAATTCCTTTAGCAATTCATATCAACATTCTTTGGGAAATGGTGACTTGAAGTTCTTTTTTTTTTTTTTTTTTTAATTAAAATAGCGTTAATGTTCAGTAACATTTGCGAAGTAACAGAATTACCTGCTTCTTGAAGTTTTATTAACTTAGGTGGTCAATAAATATCATATTGTGTTGGTCATTTTTATCTTTGCGTAACTTAAATTTGCTTTTGCTTAGATTTCCTTTACTGTGCTTTTGGGGCTCACAAATTTAAAACAGATTTGAGAAACCTGCACTATTCTTTGGACCAAAATGGATATGTTGAAATTTCTGAATGTTGAAATTCACCTAGTTCAGCATGGGAAAGGATTCATTGTTTTGCAAAATTTCTGAAATAATCTGCTCTTAAAACAAGGTGGGGAAGAGAACCCTCTGGAGATTCAGCAACCTTTGTGCTCTGAAACTCTCCTAATGCCTAATTTTAAATACTCTTTGTTCATGTTGATCTTGTTCATATGCTGCCTGCACTGGAAGCACAGAATGGATTATTCTCTTGACAGCTATCTTTTAGATATTCAAAACTAATACCTCTACCTTGAGGTTTCATTTCTTTTGACTATAAGCAAGTTTTTCAGTATTCTAAAGTCTTACCTTCTTGACCTACTGCTGTTCTTTGGATTTTCACTAGTAGTCCAAGTAAATAGTGATTTAAAATGCTGTAGTATTGAATGAAATTACCCTGATCTAGCCTAATGGTTTTTCTGATTCTTTAGTATTTTGACTTAATCTTCCAAATTTTATGTAATGCAGCAGTATCCATTTATGGGATTAGTCTTGCTGTAATAGTTTCTAAAGATTTTTTTTTTTTTTTTTTTATTCTCTTTTTTTTACCTTTTGCTCTAGTTATTCTCTAATTTGAACTGTTCCATTTTTTTTTTTTTTTTTTTTAGTCTCATTGTTATAGCAAATAAGTTTCAATGATCTAGGAAGCAAATCTGGGCTTTGTTCTTTGTTTTCTTTTCATGATCTGGAGTGAATTGGTTTCTACCTCATGTGAGTTTCAACAGAATCAGGTCTATTAATCTTCTGAATTCTTACTCTGCTGCTGGTGTGTTTCTAGATTTTTAAGTAATGGATTTGTCTAAACTATTGAAGCCGAGAAACAAAAATTCAATTTTCTGACTGATTACATCTGTCTGGAAAGGTGGAAAAAACTTAGGAAAGATTTATTGGCATCTTTTGCTTCACAATCTAGTTTTGTCATTTCTGGCCCTTTTGTCTCCACTTTTATGCACACACTTATGAAGGTAGCCTATATTTCTAAGTACAGGCATACTGTATGTCAGTATAAATGCAAGTGATACAGTACCCTTTCAAATTAAACCTCTACATCTCCTATCTGATTTCATTTATGAAGTCCTTGGTGCATTAGAATACTCAAAATCCAGTGCCATTTTCTTGTGCATGGAAAAGTCTTGGTTCAGATAACAAAGCAAGTCCCAGCACTTATGATGTCACACACCTTGAAACGAGAAACAAACCAGGAAAAAAAAATATAAGCAAAGCATAACTAAGTATAGCATCTTTATCTATCTTTTCTTGTATATGTATATATATTTTATTGTTAGGCAGAATAGTGATGATGTTGTTACCTTAGAAACCAGAATGCCATGGACAATTGCCAAGTCATGTTAAGTTTGTTTTGAGTATTTGATCTTTTGCTCAAGTTAAAGCAATAGATTGCAGAATAAACTGCAGAAGATGGTAAAATGCAAGGCTTAAATTAGTCTGAAGTTTATGTAAAGATCAGATACTTCAGACTGCTTGAGAGTAAAGCTTTTTGAGAAGTTTAAATAGGAAGATGGTTTTTTTTTAAGGCACATAGTTATATTGATTTTATTTTAAAGTGTATTGTCTCCCAAAATTTGCTTAGAAGCCAGATGTATGTGCGAAAAGTTAAGTTAGTTATAAAACTAAGTTTGATAACTAATTTCTTAATGGAAATTTGCTAAGTGTATGTTTTTTCTCATCACCAACAGATAGATAGTCAGTAAGGGCAGCAGCAGCAGCAAGCTGGCTTGATGAATGAGTGTAATTCAGTTTCTTTGTATTGTACAGCTTGAGAAATGCCAGTGGCCTGACAGCAGCAGACCTTGCACATACCCAGGGCTTCCAAGAATGTGCCCAGTTTCTCTTGAACCTCCAGAACTGTCACCTGAATCGTTTCTATAGCAATGGCACCTTAAATGGGGTCCATCAGAATGCAGGTCCCAATCCATTCGGTGGTGGGACAAGTCGAAAGAGATCCTTTGAAGATACAGAGTCTGCTGGAGTAAAGAAGGCTAGAACGGAAGGTGAGACCCCAGAGGTAAAAGGGATGGGGTGATGCTGTTGCTGAGAAAGGAAAATAAACATTTTAAAGCCTTTCAGAGTGGATGTTGAGTATTATTGACAAACTCACATACATATCTAATTTACATATTAATACAATAAGCAGATGAATACAGTTATTCTGTGCCACAAGATCCCAATTCTCCTATGTCATCATCTTGGTGTGTTCTGAAATTTCTACTTCCAGAGTGAGAAAGTTACATGATGCCAAGAATAATACACGGAAGAGTAGGAAGCCAAAGTGGTTTCCACTCCTCCTTCCTCAGTTTCTTCTTCAGGAGAGCCAAATAATGTTGTGTTAATTCACAAAGATGCCCGGATATTCAATGCTAGTTTTCTACTTCAGGATGCATTCACAATTCAATTCCTTTGATCCATCTAGCAAACAGTTTTTGAATGCAAAAAGGTTTCTCAAATCAAGAGGGATTATGTCTGTGACATTAAGATAAAATACCTTAAGTTTCCAGGATGATGTTCCAAGGGGAACTGATACCTTACAGGAGGATGCAAGACTAGAATGGATCTTAAGGATTCATTTTCTGCCTTGTGCATTGAGGATACTGCTTCGTCTGCCAGCAATGATGTGATAGTACAATCTCAAGATATTTTTTTGTGGCTCTACAAAGAGACCTTTTTTTACATTTTACGAACACCTTGAGTAACACAATTGAGAATATCCTCTGTTTCCTCTCGGGGGCTCATCCTGTTAGAGTCCTAGTAAAAATGCAGCATTCTGCACTCAAACCTTGTTTTTTTTTCCTGTGTCTAGTGTCAGGAGAGGGAATTCGTAGGTCTTTGTTGAAGACACTTTTCTTTAAAGTTTATATTCTAACGGATGTAATTTTCTGTGAGACAAATAAAACGGTCTCTAACAGTGCTTAATTGCACATAACAAGAGGGGAATTGAAACCAAAACAACGTTTCAAAATATGACATGGACAAGGTAAATTACATCAACACTGACACTGTAGTAGTTGCTTTAATACTTGCCATCCAGACACCATTTCAACTCTACCAGGATCAGAGGCCTTAGCAGGGTACTCCATAGCCAGTCATAAACAGGATATGCTGCTTTGTTTAGTTGGTCTAAACTATGAATAATTTCGTGATGGAGAAGAGTGCCTATGCAGTTAAATGCAAGACTGCCCCTCAGGAATAATGTCCTTAAATAGCTACATAGAATGAGAACTTTGTTGGTTATGCAGGTGCAGTTATGGAAAGATGTCTTCGGTGCATTCATATTCTGTTACCAGGAGGTGCTGCTTGAAGTCAAAGACCCCTATCTTTTGTTTTGAAGACCTTTCTGAATGTTCAGCAATGTCTTTTAGTTTCAGAAAGTGGCTCCAATCTAGCCAATAGGTAGCGTTTCCCCATCCCCACGATCTGCGGAAGTGGCCCTGGACGAGCTATTTTTATTCTATATGTTGTCATGAAGTAGCAGTATCTGCCTTGCGTTTCAGCATGAACAGTCAGTCCAGTGGATGTGAGGTCAAGGGAACAAATAGTACATTGAAGTGAATGAGATCTCCTGAGCAATGTCAGGATATTGGAGGAGCAATCAGACTGGGTGATTTTTGAAATGTTTACCAGTATGACTTCTCAAGACCTTTGCGAACAAAGCCAAAAGCTTTGCTGCATTTGCTTGAAGGTATGTACAGTAATTAAGAGATACGGCCCAACCACAGAAGCTGAAGTTTCTAATCTGACGTGTCTGCCCTCAAAGACCTCAACATCAGTAATATTTATTGTATCAGTGTAAAAAGTCTGTTGGAGTGAGAATGAGTCACTGTTCCTGAGGCGCTTTGTAAACAACAGAGCTGAGTAATGAGAAGTCATCAGTGCATCATTGTGCTGAGCTAACCTTTTTACAAAACAAGCCCCATGTTGTGGTAATAATTTTGCTCTTAGCAAAACCACACCGGTCTGTTGTGTCCTTTAAAGGCTGTTTGCCCAGGAGATCTGTTCAGAGAGAGCGCAGGCAGCCTGTATTTGCAGGGCAGAGTCAGGTTTTGATGACCATACCCCAAATTAGAACAATCACTGCTTTGGAAAAAAAAATAAAAATTGCTTCTTGTGACCAGGCACAGTATATGTCCCTTGCAAGAGCCTGTAAGGAGTAGAGTTGGAAGTAAATAACTACTCAAACTGTCCTTCACTCTTTGTCCTGGAATAGCTAAACCTCAAATCGGGACAACTGGGTAGTGGGTGGGGGTTACCCAACATCTAATTTTGTTTATATGCATGCACATTTATCTGCTATCGGGTGCACAGTATTAAAAAAAATCCTTCAGCCTAAAAATTAAACAACACTGATACCTGATATGCTGTGCTACAAACTAATTACTCCCTCAAAATGAATTCCAAAGGCTGAAGCTGAACTTAAGTAGGTGGCCACTCTCAGGATGTAGACCAAATAGGTTTTCATTTTGACTTAGAAGCATGAGCTGGATTTTATGTTTATTCTTCTGAAATCTATGACAAAAATTTCCCCCTGCTTCCCGGGCAGGTTGGTAGAAGGTGGCACACAGGGTCAATTAATGATGATGCACACCAGGCCAAGTGGTCACACGGCTGTGTGGGTGGCCGTCATCATACTGGTCCCTCTGGGGCATGGCCCTGGGCAGGTTGGCTTTTGTGCTGTGCTGTACACAACCGATGACTGACGGTGTCAGTATCACGAGCCTCAGCACATTTAGGTGTTTCTAGGTATTCTTTGAGAGGTGGGGATGGAGGCGTTGCCAGGTGTACCCTTGAATTGGCCAGCATCAAACTGCACTTCCATGTTCCTCTAGGCAACTAGAACAAATGCCTTTCCCTTCCTGGTTTAGAGTGATTTGAAGCCAAATCATCCAAGTACCCTGGTCTCCTTTAAGCCCTGCGTAACCTCTTTGGCCCTGAAACACTTCAGCTATTGCTTAAGGTTCTTTAAAAACGAGTAGTTTATGAAAATTTCTGTTGTGCCCAAGGTAATGAGAGCTGACCCATGGTCTCCTAAAGTAGCCCTTAATAACATATTGTGTGCAATGTATATAGAAAGGCGTGTTGGTGTCAGTGTGAGAGCAGTGCTTTGGGTAGTAGGTGTAAGAGGTAGGGAAGTCAAGCCCATCTCACTTATTAAAGCATTTCCCACAAAAGTATCTATGTGCTGGCTTTCCTTGGAAGGCAGATAGATATGTTTGTTCAGTTCTTGGAGGGATCCCTGGAGCAGTCTGATGTGAATGGGTTACTGAGAACGGGCCCTTGGGAGTGGAAGAGGGAGCAGTCCAGACTGACAGCAGGGAAACGTGGGGCAGAGACTACTGCTTATTGGTTGGGCACACTAGCAGTACAGCCTAAATACGAGTAATTTACATGGCTCTTCAGTTAATCTGTAGCCTATCAGACTAATAATTTATATGTAGGTGCAAAGTCTGATAGGTACACTGGTAATTCTTCATTCTGAGGGATTAGAAGGAATGTGCTCAGCATTTACTTTGCACTTAGAATCTCAGACACGTCAGAAGCTTTCAGACGTGAAAAAATAACATTTCTTTGTAAAAAAGCTTTTGCTTTAATAATGAAAGTACTCAGCTGTTTGTTGGCTGAGTTTTCACGTGTTCACCAGTGACTAAACATGACCTTTTTTTTTTTATCAGCTTACAGCTTTGATGGCTTAATACCAATGATGAACGGAGGAGTTGAGGACGATGGTGACAATATGCACGTTGATAGAGAGTTTGCCGTTGTATCAGGTGGGAGTGGACAGTTTCCTGTTAACTACAACAACATTCAAATGGTTGAAGACACCAAACAACAGGAGAGTACTTCTGTTGGACCAAAAGAAATTGAAATATACACTGTTTCTGCAATGCAAACTCCTTGTCGTTGCAAGAATCAATATGCATTTTATTTTTAATTTAAGTATAAAACTTAGTCCTTTATTTTTGCACATTGTTGTCTAAAGTCTTGAAAACTATTGTATTGCTGTAATACCCATTATATTGGGGGTTTAGTAGGTATCTAAAATTAGCTGTTTCATGCGATATATTGTAATGGTAAAAGAGAAGGTATATTAGTGGTTTATTACTATTTCAGATAGAAATCCACAATGGCTGTTTCACTTTTAACCTGAGGCTTGTATTATGCTGTGCCTTGCTTTTAGTTGCTATAATTTCAGGTTAAAGGAAATTCTGAAATACTTTAAATTATTCGTTTCATTTCCATTAAATAGATTTAATTGCTAATAAAAAGACTTGCTAGGAAAACATATCCTAGTGTCTATATAGCTTTGTACATTATGTATGTTACAACTAAACGATATTCAAAATAGTTGAACAAATACTATAAAGACTAGTCTAGACATATACCAATGTTGAGAATTTGTTCAGACACAGTGATCTAAGTGCAGGATCCTGCTCTGGATTTTTAATGTAAACAAAGGACTGGACATCACACGTCTTAAACTAGTATTTGAAGCTACATACCTTGGAAAACAGGTTTTGTGTTTTGTATCCATCTTCATGAAACAGTCAGAATGTTACTAGTATTAGTGAATATTAATGCTCTAAGTTTTTTAAGGGCTGCTTAATCAAGATACTTTTGTTAACCCCAGGTTGTGTATAGAGTTTCGATTAAAACTCTTGGGTCAGCTTTTTCCATGCGCTTTGTAGGTAAAGGCATGGAGTTACTATGATCGTGCATTATTACATTCAGAAATTAATTTTTTACTTTGATTTGTTCTGTGATAAATATGTTTATGCTTTGTACCACAGATCAGATTCACCAAAGGGAATTATGATAAATAGATATTTTAATATATTAGGAATAAATATATATATACATATATATATATAATCAGTACTTGAAAAGTAGACTATGATATATTCCAGTGATAATTACTAAGTGTTCTTATTTATGAAAAAATGATTGTCTTTCATAAATGTACTCTATTACTATAGGTGCTAATTTTTAACAAATAATAAGATTCTATAATTATCACTAGAACTATTCATTACCTACTTTTGCATATGAACTAACAATAGTGCCATTTTTATTAAATTTGATTTGGCAAAGTCAGCCTATAAGGATTTATTTTTAAGCAGTTAAAATTCTGCACTTTTCAGTTAATAAACACTATATGAAATTCATTCTGCGCGTTTTCATCACTGAAATATTAGCTTTGATGTCGTGATGGGTTTGGGGCTTTTATTTTCCACTTCCAATAAGAATTTGTAGTTAGTGAGTTCAGCTGATGTGGTTATTTTAACTCCTGTAGGGACTAAGCAGGAAACTGCAGTTAGTACATCTAGTGAGTTACAAATCAAACACATTTCTTGGCATTATGTATTGCTGTGTGTGAAGTATCAAGTATCGTAATCCATATTTGAAATAATACCCACGCGATGGACTAATAAGAGAACCAAAAGTTCAGATTCTTCCTTGTCAAACAGTGGTACTCATTATGTGTCACTTAAACAGGAACCCAGTGTTTTATAAACGTGGGAAGTTATCAACAGACTTACCGGCTGGGATTGGAAATGCAGAGTAAATGCAATCCTGTTCTGCACATAGGTTTATGCTCTCATGTATACATAAACATATGTGCACATATCCAAGGATAATACCGGAATGTAAAACCTTTAAATGTCACCATATAGGTCTGTACTTTCTACATTTGCCTTGCTCATCTTTACCAATATAGATGTACATTTTAGATGCCTTTTACCAGTAGGCATTTTTAAGGCAGAATGTATCACCCTTTTTTTGTGCTAGTACTTTGAGTACCACTGCAAAAACATATGTTTCAGACATACTGATGAAATCTGTTTATGGAAATAAAAACTATTGTACTAATTACTAAATTCGAAGGAGAAAATGCTTCAGAACTCGTCAGTGGTTTTTGCATGCACATTTTTAGAATTTTATTTCCTCCTACTCATCTTTTTTAGTCTTCTGTGCACTCTGCTGTTGCTACTGTATGGCATTTTGCATGTGGATTGTACAGATGTCATGATAACCTTACCATTAAATACAAACCTGCCTAATATGTTGTTTAGCCAGCTGCTAGATAAATTGAAGTACTTTCTGAATAAAGGAACTTTGAAGCATTTTATATTAGCACCCCAACATAACATTTCTTTATTTGATGTGTTTCAGTGTATACTGTACTGTGAGAGGTAGCACTAAAAAGGAAAAAAAAGTAGCCACAGATAAATTACAGCTGAAAAATAAAAAAAACAACTCTTGACCCTCTCACAGAGACTCGGTTCTTGTATATACGTAATATTTCATCCCAAGAGGGCATTACAGTTAAGGTGGAAAGATGCCTTTTATTCTGCCTTTCAAAATACTGCCCAGAATGTTGTCTGCTACACTTATTTCATACAGTTAAATGAAAAAATTCTGGGAAGTTCACATTATCTTTGCGAAGATTAACATGAGCATATCTACGCATTAAATGTAGATAGATAGTTGCATTTTCAACATAATCCGTGCTCCGAGCTTACTGGTCAGCTCTCATGACTTGGAACTACCTATATTGTTATAAATAAAGAAAGGGTAGATTTATTTTCAAAGCTGTGTACGGCAACATTTTTTAAATAAGCGGAATATAGTTGGGAGACATTTTGATGTATTTCGATTTATTCTTAATTGTTGGTGACAGGTGTATTTCTTAATGCAGATATGAATAGCAGTAGCTCCATATTGAATGCACTGACAAATGGATGTGCCATCAATGGACATTTGGATTTCGCCGCCGCTGCACAACAGCTCAGTGGGATGGATGCCAGGCGTGAGGAGTGTTTAACATTAACACCACCTAACGGGATAATTCCTGGAATAACTTCTCCCGGTCGGCATCGGATTCACCCCAGTAACGGCACCGAGGAACCGGAGAAAGCCATGAATAGTTCCACCGACATGTGTGGGTCTCTACATCTGAACGGGAGCCCCAGTAGCTGCGTGTCCAACCGGCCCTCGTGGGTGGAAGACCCCGGAGATACTTTGCACTATGGACACTACCATGGTTTTGGGGATACTGCCGAAAGCATCCCCGAACTTAGTAGTGTCGTTGAGCATTCCAATTCTGTCAAGGTTGAACAGAGCTACGAAAATACTGTCCTAGGCACAATGTATTTGTATCACGGTTCCTAGATGAATGACCTTTATATCAAACACATATTGAAATTGCTACCAAATGAATCTTGGGGGGGGACACACAAAATCCTCCCATAGCATTAAATTTGAAGATTGCAACTTATTGCTATTTTTACACTTTGTTTATATGAAAAGTAAACCTTTAATTTGACAGCCTTGTACAATAGTTGTAGTCTGTTGCATGTATGGGGCTTATTTAGTGATAAAATAGGTGCTGTTATGATGGAATGTTTATTATGTTCATTTTTTTATTATGGAATGTTCTGGTTTTGTATTTTTTTATTTCTAAGCTTGTGAACACTATCTTTCCCTTTTTAGAGCTGTTTTCCCTTTTATTAAAACGATGTTTAACTGAATTTTGTGAAGAAAACGTTACGTATGTGCATCACTTAGAAGTAAAGGTTGGGTTTTTTTTTTTCTTTTCCGTATCTTCTGCTGAAGCTATGGTAGCAATATCAACGCCAGCTATCACTATGCAAGGGTGAAAAGTGGCAATCTTCTGGAGCTTCTCCGACTTTCTAGTTCGTCCGTTGGTTTGGTATAAGTAGCTGTTTCCCTTCTGGTTTGTTTTTTTTTTCTGAACGAGTCGTTTGAAAGCGCAGAGGCGGCGTTGGAAGAAGTCAACGCTCTCAGTTTCCGTAGAGTAGAAGTGCTTTTCGTTGTTGGTGGGCTCTTTGCGTTCCAGAGTGGGGCAGGTGGGCTGCCTTCCTTTGGCCAACGGTTGGGTTGGGTGCGTGCCCCAGGTTAGCTCTGAATTCGTGGTGGTTTTCTTTGGCTTCTCTCCTTTTGATACCTACGCTTGATATTTTACCATAGCTCACAGACCGGGGGGCATGTTGGCACTGTTCTGCTTCGTACGCGGTTTAAAAATTGCTGTTACTTGTTATAGGGTTTGCCGAGTCAAAATATTTGAGTTTGACTGTCTTGGATATACATTTATTGTCCTTTTTTTAAACATACGCTTTGGAAATGTAATGTTGTGTACTCTTTGGGCTACGCTCACGGAAAATACATTGTATTTAAAGCTTAATACACGAAATTCATATAAGTGCACTATATGAGCACTAATAATATAAGTTGCTGCTTTGTGTTATGGTAAGTGGAGAGTGGGGAAAATATGGTAAACGAGATAAGCCCTCTGAATTGTGTTGGGTTTTTTGTTCTTGTTTTGTTTAAAAAGGGACCTTTACAAATTGGAATTTAATAAAAATAAACATATTACATTGTACCTGAATATTTTGTTTAGACATATTTTTACTGGCAATTTGAGTGAGTCTTTTATAGTTTTTAAATCACATTTCTCCATAATCTTTCTCAGTACAGTGTGGGATTTCTTGATTCTGTCGGTATGTTGGAAGCAAATACGAGGAGCCCAGCAAGTTGTCCTTCACTGAATCACAGAAACGTGTACTAGATATTCTGTGTGTGAAGTTCGTGTCGTTCTTGAACTCCAAAAATAGGTTAAAAATACTGCTTGTCTGGTTTGCATGGAAATTATACTCCTCCGAACATTTTGAGGCAAAATGCAACAGATTGAAAGAAATCAGTGTTTAAATAGAATTTACACTCTACGTGGTTCCCTGTCTACATACAAGATACCCACAGTGTATTAAAATTGAGAGTACTGCCTATAGGAAAATCGACTTGTCTTTTTGCAGATTGTTGGCCAAACCAGCAAAACTCCTCAGAGCCTCAAAACCATTAATGAAAACCAAATCTGGTTTGCGTGCAATGCTAAAATTTTAGGCACATAATTTTAGCGTGACAAGATTTATAGTGTGTTCATAAGGCAAGGGTTTTAAAAAAATGTGTAAATTTGGTTTTCATTCGTGTGCTTTTCACATCTTTTCACCTCAGAATACCTTGGAAGACACTGTATTTCAAATTTAAGGAGAGCATTTACTGCTTTATTTTAAGAAGCAATTCTGTGTGTGTGTGTTCAGCCTCATGGTAGCGGGGAGACAGATTTCAGGGTCTGTATCCTGTCAGGCCCCGTGGGAGCTAAACATTAGATTCTAATTAGATGCAGAAGACCAGTGTAGAAGACCATACGATGTAGACAGGCTGTGTGGGTTTGCTGGGGAGCTTCTCTTACTGCTAATGTTGCAAAAGACAGAAGTCTGTGACAGAGCATGCCTCGGCCAAGAGCCAGGTTGTAGAATTTTCAAAGCATCAAATAATTATTCTCTAAGAATTCTGAGACTGCCTTTTTTACAGGAGCTTTTTGAGACGATGCGTGTACTTACAACAAAGGCCATCCGAAATCTTGTTTTTACATTATTCCATAAAGCTTCAATACAACATGAAATAGGGAATCACAGAATCCCGGCGTGGTTGGGGTTGGTGGGTACCAACTCAAGCGTGTGGTACCGATAGGAACCCATGCCACCCTCATGGGAAAAAAAAAGTTTTCTTATGTTTAATTGGAATTTGCATTTTTCTGTTTGTCTTGTAATTTCAGGCAAAACTATAAGAGGAATAAACCTGACAGATCCAACTCCACTAAGAACTTACATTGTCAAGAGTGGAATGAGTTCTACCAGGTGTAGCTGTGCCTTTCCGTATATAACCACTGATGACACAGTGGCATTGGTTTTAGATATTTTACTATTAAAATAAAAAGGACTTTCCTGGTTTTGCCTTGTTAGAGCAGCTGACACAGTTTAAGAAGCCTGGTAGGGCTCACCAGCCCTCTTCAGAAGCTTCAGGTTCTGCTGCCAGACAGCAGTGCTGAGCCATTTTAATTACACCGTGCTCTGCAATTGCTGAAAAGATTGCTGGTTTTTAAACAATTGGAGTTAAATTCTCGTATGTTTTTTGTTTAGCAAGGACAATGGTATTGTAGGTCTGTTAGTGCTCAAGGCTTTTGTCAAATTCTAGGTCTGTCAGGGCTTTTATCAACCAAACGTTTTAGCTGATGCTTTGTCTTACCATTACTTTGGTTCTGGGAAGGGTTCTCCAAAACTAAAATTTACTTTCCATCTGCCTAGATTTAACTCAGCCACAGCACCATGAATTTCTTATGGAGTACACTGACCAGTTACTCTCATCATCCTCCTGGTTATCTCTTTCCTTGAGACTCAATTTTGTGTGAAATTTCAGTTTATTCCTTTCTGGCTTATGTAAATGTTTTTGTGCTAATCCCTGCCCAAATGTAGCTTCTCTCCTATTTCATTTTTCAAAACCATCTGCAAATTTGGGCAGAAATATAAATAAGTACAGATTCAAGCAGTATTGTGATAGGGAGTGTTTCTGACCAAATAGTTGAAGTTTAGCAACGTTGTAAGAGAGGAAAGAGAAGTGTTGCAGAACTTCGTACCCTGTTACAGTCTTTATATTTTTAAAAATTGATCCTCTGATTCAAAATAAAATATTACTCTAACAGTTGTGAAAGAAGGCTATCGTTGAAGACTATTGGATTAAGGTGAGATGCTGCTCGGCTTCAAGACCCCTTGCAAATGCATTCAGACCATGAGAACTTTTCTGATCATTGGTCTTGTACCTCACTGTGACCAAACCCTGGTCCTCCTTCAGACTCACGTTCCATGAACTAGCAAAAGGCTCTCTGTACATCTGTTTTACTGAGCTTCTTCAACAAGCCATCATCCTTCTGCAGTCTGAAATTGAACCCCAGCTTAATATTTATAGCCAAGTTATAAGTCATGGAATCATAGAACAGTTGGGGTTGGAAGGGACCTTAAGAGATCATCTTGTCCAACCTTCCTGCAATGAGCAGGGACATCTTCAATCACTAAGGAGCTTCTGCCATTCCGATTACAAATATAATACATCCAAAAGGGCTGCCTCCCAAAACATCAAAATAAGTCCTGAGCAGAAAAAAAACTGGAATGACAAAGGAGTGGATACCTTTATGGGTAATGCACGCTTTCTGAAGCGGGGCCTTGCACACTTCTCCACTTATTTCGTGTCCAACCAGCTTCTTCCAGTAAGTGAATAAACACACTTCAGGGAGGGGGGAAAAACCCAGATCACAACAAACAAAAAACCCAAAAGCACTCTTTCGCCTGCGCAGTAGCCGGGGCACTATGTCCTTTCCATCCCTAGACCTCCTGGGCATCAGCAGCAGGGGGCAAGGCACAGGTGGACCACTCCTCCCTTGCTGGTGCCATTGGATGTGACACACGCTGCAGCTTCCCACTGGTGCCTTCAAAAGCTGAGGGGAGACCTTATCGCTCTCTAGCTGAAAGGAGGTCACAGAGAGGTGGGGGTCGGTCTCTTCTCCCAAGTCACAGGTGATAGGACAAGAGGAAATTGCCTTAAGTTGAGCCAGGGGAGGTTTAGGTTAGGTATCAGGAAAAATCTTTACACTGGAAAGGTTATCAAGCATTGGAACAGACTGCCCAGGGAAGTGGTGGAATTGTCATCCCTGGGGGCATTTAAAAGCCATGTAGATGATGTGCTGAAGGACATGGTTTAATGGTGGTTTTGTCAGTGTTAGGTTGATGGGTGGACTTGGTGATCTGAAAGGTCACTTCCAACTTAGGCAATTCTATGATTCTATGAAATCCTGATAGATTTTCTTCAGGGTGGTTACTACCCTGGTGAAATTCTTTTCAATTGTGCTTTCTAGGGATCTCTGTGAAAAAAAAAAAAAACAAAAAACCAAACAAAAAAAACCCACCCACAAACTTTCTCTGTAAATGAGTTTTCTTGTTATTTGCTTCTAACTCTCAAGTATGGATTCATGTAAAGTTAAGAGCTTAAAGCAAATTTGTTGGTGCTCCAGGGAGGAAGTCCTAGGTGCCTTGGGTTGGGGGCAGGCGAGCCGGGGAGGGAGCAGTGCTGCGGGATTCCTACAGGGATAAAAAGAGGGGAAGGGCCAAGGGGGAACTCCCCACACTGGGCAGCACCGAGAGCTGCAGCCACCCCGCTGGGTGGAAGATGGTACCCTGGGGGAGCATCCCACTCCACTGCTGCCACTGGCCTGTGGGACACAGGTCCACACAGGGCAGGAGGAGGTCTTTGGGACCCAGCCGAACCAAGAAAAGAAAAAAAAAAAAAAAAATGTCTTGTGTAAGCAGGATTTACTATTCCTGGCAACTGGTAGCTACTTTTCTGCTACGCTGCTTAATGACTCCCAGATATTTCACACCTCTCCTTCCCTTCCTGGAGTTTCCTGTCTCAAAGTGGTGACTGGCTGCTTACAGGCAAGGATCAAAAGAATTCTGGTTTTAAAGCAGATGGTTTATTTTAAAAGCATACCTGCCTGTAGTATTTTAAACAAGGGAAAAAAAAATCAACCAAAACCCAAACACTACAGTAGTTCATAACAGTACTATACGCTTGGAGTATGCAAATTAAAAGCTTTGCCCCACTCAAAATTGTACTTCTTCTATAAATAGCACCCCCCCAAAAAAAAAAAAGCATAATGAATGTTACTTGTGACATGAGAATAAAAGTTAGGCAGCCTCTCTCCCTCCGAAAAGCACACCAAGTTTTAATGAGTAACAACTTTTTGCTTCTGTGTGACTCAGCTGCAGACACAGGACTCGATGACCGTTCCCAAATCAGGAGGAATTAGCCTCAACTGGCTGAAGCTCAAGCGGGAGAGACGCGTGTTTGACACTGAAGTCGAGCCCCCTGGCTCCATCACTCATCCCAGCACTGTTCCACACAGAAAATCACCCAATACCTGCAGCTGAACGAAATACCAAGCTGCATGCTACTAATTATATTTCTTCTTGCCGGGCTGGAATTGTTAAGTTAAAGAGGAAAAATAATTTAGTCTGAGTTTCTCTTCCCCCAAAGGCAGGATGTAATCTTCCTAGAGAGGAAATGCCATGTATTAATAGAGCTCCTCTCTTGATGTTACCGAAAGGTCAAGCATTGTTTGTTGGTGCTGACTGGCAGCTCGGTCTCACCAAACACACGTGTGCTTTCCGGTAACAACCGCAAACTTAATGATGTCTGCAGGTTCTGCTGGGTTGTTTTTTGGTGGAGGAGAAATTGAATTTTGTTTGCTTTGATTTTATTCTGGCTGTTTCTAAAAGGTGGTGCGAGTTGGACCAAGTCCCTCACATTAGGCAGATAGCTTGGAATCTCAATTTATTCTATTTTATATTTGACACACATTGTGTAATACAGCATATCTTATAAAAATCAGTACCAAAAAGACAAATTATAAAAATCAAGTAGGTACACTTTGTAAGAAGAGCCAAGCAAAAGGTCTATGCGTGATGCAGAGAAGCACTTACTTCAATGGTAGTTCCAGGG